CGCTTCGTGCAGCTTGCCGGCGCTCAGTTGACTCGCCGGAACTCCGCGCGGAAACGTGCAAAAATCGTAACTTTAAAAATCGATATCTCGAGAACGGTTGGGAGGTGGCGGCTAAAAAAAAATACGTCAACCTTAGATTTGTCTCTTCTTCATGTACAAGCAAAATGAACCCAATCCCAGGATGTCACTTCGTAGACTCCCCTTGTAAATATGAAGAAAATAGAAAAGTTTGGAATTACTACAAGCACAGTTCACGTACTACTCTTGAATGACTCCTACAAAAAATTATTTAACTGACCCACTTCTGAGTGGATCTTGCAAAATACATTGAAAATGCTGGCCAATTCCATGTAGAATGATGTCAAGAGATTTGTGAAACACCAAGTATAAGGTGCAAAGAGTAAATTAATGAGTAAAACGTATTCAAGAAATGTCTGAAATTCCCAGACAATCCTGATTAGTATAGTTTTCAACTTGATCAAAGAAGAAAGAATTTCCTAAGTTTTCTCATTGTCCGCATTTTCGGACTTGCAAAACCAAGAAATATTGTGCTCGATATTATTCAAACATTACTTTCATGAGAATACATTCTACTAAGGCTAAAATCAAACTAAAAAACTCAAATTCGCTTACGTCTAGCGACGTATTACGTATAGACGTAAGCGAATTTGAGTTTTTTAGTTTGATTTTAGCCTTAGTTGATTTAATCGGTTCGCTGTTTTTTAGTTTCGTTCATTGTTTTAATTTTTAAATACATTATACGATGAAATAGCAAGTGAGACTGGGAGAAGAGGTTATTTCTGAATCTCTACCTAAAATCTACCTCTGTTACAATTTTGCTCCTCCAAATACAAAGCTGAAAGTCTGAAAAGGAGTATTTAAAATTTTCTCTTTGTATCCATTGCTGTATCCGTTAAAAACATGAAAAAATCCACAGGAACAGATAGAAATCAAATCTCATTCAGAAAGTGTCTTAAATGCCGACTGTCTCTAGTGATCTGGCAACTTGCTCTCTTGGTTTCATGGTACCTCCTTCATTTTTTAGGCTTCTTTCCAACCTGCAAACTTTCTCTAATAGGATCAGAGATGATAAAGTGCCTCCTAAAGAGATGGCATGTACCATCATTTTGAATCCTCAAAGCTGTATGTTCAAGTATCAGTTATAGTTATTTGGGTAAAGTTATCATTTTTCTCTAATGTTCTTATTCACTCTCTTTCCTTTCCAAAATTTTCCTCAAGTCTTTCACGGATAACTTGACAAGGCATGTTGTACTCTTTCGTTGCAATGAAGGTTTTTTCTGTAACTCACTCAGTATATCAAAGTTAATAATTTTCCTTCTCAGGCAACCGCTATGAAGACCAAATTTGTGAAAACTGTTGTATCTCCACAAAGCACATCCTCGCCTACAAGAGCACCCGGACCTGTAAGTCCTGTAAATTAATTTAATGAATTTTAATTTAATTAATTTAAATTCAAACCCTTAACAGGAGGATGGTAACAGAGAATAGAATAGATCCTCTTTACAAGATCATTGCCCAGAAGATGTAAATGACTGAGCAAAAAATAAGGGCTGTAGAGGGTCTAAAGCCTCTGTAAGGTAGGGCTGTTATATCGGTTGTCGGTAAGCTACCGAAAATGTTCCATTAAGAAAAAGTTACGATAAGAGCGCTCTTGTCGATAGCGATCAGAGTTTTCGGAGCTGGCGAAAATAAGCTGTTGCCGTGTGTACATCTATTTCATGCGCCGCCGCGCCAGGCAATCTGATAAACCGACACAAGGGGCAACAATGCATTGAGTGCGAGCTCTCAAAAATCCGATAAGGCCGGCTGTTGTCGATATCATCGCCACTGTCGGTACTGCCGCCAGTTTCAATAAGAGACGATATCGAAAGAGTTCCGGCAAGAATTCGTTTGAACACCCCTACTGTAAGGTGCCAAACTTGCCAGGAAAAGGCCTTGAACACAGTGGTGTCCATAAGCAAATGTCACCACTCAGCTATACCTATATGTCTGTCCTTGTGAGAACGAACATTCCTGTAGTTAATCCAAGATTAAAATGAGACAAGTTGACACCATATATCCACTGAAGCATATATCAACGGTGATATCCTGATTTTCAATGTTGTAGGCTTTCTGTCATACTTCTTTTTCTAGATGGAGAACCACTTAACGTCAATTCTTATAAACTTCTGTGATTTTGAATTGTTCTCCTCTAACAAGATAAACTAGAAGTGGATATTTTTAAACATTGCAAACAAGATACATGGCTCGGGATTTTCACCATCAACTGTATATTTTAAATGAAATTGTTAATTTCAAATATGAGGATTATGATACTTAAAATATGATAAAAGCATTGATGAATTCTATTATGCAGCCGTTGACAGGTGCCCTAATGAAGCCATTAGCGCATGTTCCGATGCCTCTTCATATCTTTCAATTTGATATTTAGGTTCCTTGCGAGAGGCTCCTCTTTTAAGTGTAACTGACATTAATTACTCTAATTAATATTCTCATTGCTTTTAATTATTCAATAACGTATTATCATCAAGTATTATTTATTTATTATCAGTTATTTTACTAATTACAGACTCTCAAAGTTCTGACTCCAGTTGCAAAGTCAAATTCTGTAGCTTCAACTGCAGGAGGACCTACAAGACTGATACAATCATCAAATTCTCAGATTCTTAATGCAGCAACACCACAAAAGTCAGTTAAACTTGTTGGAAAAACACCCAACACAGAAGTGATAGATCTTGTAGAAGATTCTCAACAGCAAGCAAGAGCTTTTGGCATCCGTAAGTTCAGTTTAACATCATACCCTGAATTACTAGTTTCTTTGTAAATTCTCATTTTGTCCTTGATATTTAGATAGTGGGTAAACAAAGTTTCTGAAGTTCAATATCTCCTATGCATCTTAAAACTGCCTCATCGCCTTTAATTTGTAACGCTGAAAGGCATTTATATTAATTGTATCATACTTTACGTGTTTACCTGCACAGTGCATTAAAGCTCAATTCTGTTGTTTTTTTTCTCTCTAGTGAGCTCTCTGCTCCTCAACATGACTGCCTTTTAATGTGCCAGTTTACCCTAATTGATGACATGATCAGCAAAAAAAAAACAAACAATTTACTTTTCTATAGACTGTCACAAAACTGTTCAGAATACCTGTTAGAAGCTTTTTAGTTTGAAGGACACTTTTTTTTTTGTGAGAAACCTTATTCATCTGTTTTTCTCTCTTTTCCTTTCTTTCCCCCAGAAAACTTTAATAACAAAGGGGTAGCAGTCCCTCAATCTTCTCCAGGGCAAGTGGTAAGTCATATTGTTTTCTTTGTGTAAAGCTTTGTAGTTAAATTTTAGTTTTTAATTGAATGGTACGAAGTCTCTAATTCCGTTTCATTTCATCGCTTTGCTGACATACGGGCATAACTATATCATAGATGAGCCCAGGAAAGTATTGATTTATATGGGCGATAAGGTTCATTGCGAAGTGTAGTTATGTCCTTATGTCCGGAAGGCAATGATTTATCATGAGTTTGTTGTCCGCACACATTGAAACCATTCCTGGGTCATTATGCCTTATTCAAACCTCTTATCTTTTTGTGAAAATAGCATTTTACATTATTTGGTTTATGTTGGATGACGAGAGAGCATCCATTTCTAGAGACTTAATATTGGAGAAACTCTAAGTGGGAACACTAGGAAGGTACAATGTAAGTTCAGATCAACAGGAAACATTTTATTACAGTGCTTTAGATAGAAGGTCAGCAAGCTGTATCACTGGATTGCTGACAGCTCTGGCAACCTTACAAACTAATGTTGCACCCTAACTAACGTGGACACGACCAAGTCTAAATTTCCCTGTGGTTTATTTTTTTCTGAAATGGAAACATTAATGTAATTTATTTAGCATTGATATCCCCCCAGTGGGTCTATTGCACGATTGACTGAGTAGCCACAATAGAGGTAAAGCCGCCTAAAAATCATGACTAGCTCATGACACGAGTCTGGAATCTCGACTCCTGAATTCACAATTTGCATTGTTTCTACTGCAAACGTTCTGCATCTGTGTGTACTTTTTCCTTCACTGCTTTCTTTCTAATTTGCCTGAAAAGAGATGCAAGAAAACCAAACCTAAATACTCAAATAATCTTGCAAACTCATTTGGAGCTTTTACACTTGCTTACTGACTTAAATTGTTTTGAAGCATTTGATATTTTATCTGATAAGAATACAAATGCCAACCGTAAGTATATAGTAGTCACAAATAGTATAAAAGTTACAGATATTGATTAAAGGATACAAATACCTCTACCGAGCATAAATTAATGCAGCTAATTATCCCCATAAAACTTGATTTTCTACCCCTCCCTTTGCCCTCCTACCTTTAATGTACAAGGGTGAGGTAGGCGTCCAATTTGCTGTTGCATGGATTTCAATTTTTTGTAAGATCAATTCAAACAGGTTAATCACCATACATATCTTTGAGATCCACTTCCTTGCCTGAATTTAACCTGTTGTATTATGTAAAACCGGCTCATCCTAAAATGATCCCTCAAAAAATGCTCTGCATTTAAACTTCTCGTCAGCACTGTCAGGGTAGCTTTAGTCAGGGAAAACCAGGAAATATCAGGGAATTATCGTTGAGTCATCTTTATTTGCTCTCTAGAATGGGTTTGACCTTTCAAACAGCAAATTTTGCCCGAAAATTATTTCTCATTATGTCTTTTTAATTATCTTGTATATCCTCAATTGTCAGGAAAATTCTTTCTCTAAATTCTGTGGCAACTCTGTCTGTGCAATACTGTCGTTCTAAAAAAGAACACCATATAATCCTTCAGTTGTTGCCACATTTCTTTTTATGAAAATGGGGTGTACTGGGAAAATAGTTCTTCAAATTTTTCAGATAATTTTTTTCATGATGATTCAGACGATTCACTCTAAAATATCTGAAAGTTATAAGAAGAAATACCCATAATGTTCTCAATTAATGCATGTTCTATCTAGGGAAATTCGGTTGATGACAGGGAATATTCATACATGAACATTTGAGAGCTAGGAAGAACGCTATAGCGTTCTTACGTATAGAAGCAGAATAGGGCAGAATAGGGTCTCAATGCTGGTCCACAGGATTGATTGACCTGTGTGGATTTGTCTGGATTTACGTCCGTTGTAACAGTGCTTTATCAACTCTTCTCTTAATAATTCATTTTCTGTAATTTATTTTCAGCAACAGCAAATTTCATATGTTGTGACCTCCGGTACTCAAGTACCGCTTTATATTTCCCCCACATCAAACGTAAGTGTAATCATTTTTCGAAGCTCTTACTGTAATAAGGAATTATTTAGGATACATTTATTTAATTGCAACATCAGGGGAAAGGTTTTTTCAAAAATTTCATGCATAAAAAATGCTAATTAATATGAAAAAATGCACAATGGCGAACAGATTTTTGAAGCAGAGTCTTCAATGAGTTTAAGCACCATAAAATGCTCCAAATATTTTGCCAAAATTTCTCTGGCCAGCAGATGAATATTCATTTATTTAATTAAATTTCTCAAATGAATTTTATACTGAAGGCTGCCTGCGAGGATTCAATGTCAACAAAAAATTTGTCAAGTCCTATCACTGCTGGAAAATCGCTCATGTTTTTTGAAGATAGAAGGTCAAGCCGCTTCTCTTATTAATATTTATGTAATGCCTTGCCCAATAATCATCAAGTAATAGCTCTTTAATGGATGAATTATTATGAATTGTCCTCTTCAAAAAACGCACATGGTGTGTTTATGTCTATAAAAAATCTTTTCACCAATTGAATTGATCCACTACATCACTCAGAGTTTTTTGAGCAAGGTCTGAATCGCAGACAAGGAAACGATTTAATGCAGTATTCAATTAAGACTTGTTTGAAAAAAGATTGAATTTCAGACAAGAGAATGATCCTGTGAGGGAATGAAACCGTCCGACAGCTATAAAACAAGCAGGAAGAATGCAAAATAGGTGACATTAATGTTGCAGCTATGAAAATTCAACCAATTACATTTCTCTGTTGTATTTGTTAAAAAAATGATTTAGACACCATGCAGATCTGATGCTCTAAGGTTTCCCAGCAGAAGTTGTCCTTTGTTGCCATAATTTTCACATTCCTTTTTTTTCAAAGCTATAAATGGAAGAAATTAAAGATGTTTCTCGTTGTTTTTTTCTTTGCAGCAGGCAACTCGGATGATAACCTCATCAGTCGGAAGTAGAGGAGTACTCAACACACCCCTTAAAAATGGTCAGATTATCCAGCTTCAAAATAAAAGTGGTAAGGTTTTTTTTTTGTGACTTGAACTAAAGAGAATATGAATAGATGAATTTAGGCTGATGAAAGATTTTACAATTTTCTCATTATGCATTCAAATTTTTATCATTTCTCATCATAATCTTGTGGAAAAAAGACAAAAATGAAGTAATCTTGTAGAAAAAAGACAAAAATGAAGTTAGGATAGCTTTGCTCTGATTCAATGAAGTATTGTGCAATTTCTGTCTCTCACAATCATCAGTTCTTGCTCCTGAAAATTTTAATGCAGATTGTCCAAAATGTCTTACGAGGGCTTCCTCCTTTTGGGTTTATAGAAGTGACATTCTCATCCCACATAGTGGCGCATGGCACAGTGGGAGGGGGCGTATAGAGTTCCCCATAAAACTTTTTTTTTCCGAAAATCAAAACGCAATAGTAGGCTTAAGCATGATAGAAATCGTCCAGACCCTTTTTTGGAGTTCGAGCCAACAATTTTTGGTAGCTTTTTATGTAAACTAATAGCTTCTTTGGATCAAAACAAAAAATGCTCCGAGAGATGCTAAAAACGCAATTTCGATTGGCAAGTCAACGATTTTATTGATTTTTTAAGTAACTTGTTTAATGCATAGAGACCAGCCTTTGGTTTTAGAGAAATTTTAATGACAGGTAAAGAAAAGGTGAATGTGAGGGTCACTAACAACCGTTTCCGTCCCAGAAAACATAATGCCATGCTATGCCACTAATTTCTTACTTTTGGAGACTTGAAGAATATTTAGACCAAGTATACTTAGAGGGAATTAATTCACATTATTGAAAGTTAAGACACAAAAAAAAGTCCTTAAACAAGAAAAAATTAATATCAGAATCTTTTAACGTAGAGGGTACAACTGCTGTTATTCTTTTTGTGCAATTAAGGCTAATTGTTTTTTGTGAACTTTTTTAGGTGTAATAGCTGGTAACCAGTTTATAGTGGCTAACTCGTCACAATTTAAGCAAGTTATTCGACCAGTCATGAATCTCAACTCTCCACCAAAGTTACAGCAACTGAAACATGTACCAAGAATCCTGGAAACAAGATTGACAGTACGTTTATTTTTATGATAACAATGAAAAACCCATTTGGGTAGAGTATTTTATTTTTATGTATGAACATTTGATGCTGCCTCATCATACTCTGAATGATCACCATCACAAATATTTCTATCAAAATTCAATTCAGAATGGATTTGAATTTCTCGCTTTGAAAACTGCCAAACTGGGAGAAAATGAAAATTCTGTTTACTACATTTTGTAAACTGTGTACAAAATTTTGGAAAAAGATGCCCCCTTGCACACTCTTCTGAAATTTCCGAAATCAAAAAAATCCATAAGGTGGGGAAAGAATGCCAATTTTGCTTTAACATTTGTCACATTTTTGGAGGGAATTGCCTTTTTTTTCTTCTCTTTTTCTCAGAAAAAAAGGCTTACCTCATTTTTATTCATGTTTTGCAAAGCCTTCAATACTTCTTTGAAAGAAGGTTTTTTTCCGAGTAACGTGGTCTAAACCGGGTGTCAAAATCTTCAACTGCCTCGAAGACATACATTTTTTAATTTTTCAACTTTGACCCCCTACCATTCGGACTACCCCTGCTGCAAAATTATTTGAGGGGTGGGGGGTTGATGTTTTGGGAAGTAATGTTTTGCATGTTTTCTATCAAAATTCGAACTCAGTTGAAAATCCACAGGTCGGTCGGAAAAACTTAATTTGGAAGGACCCCTCTGTAACCTAGCGTAGCATACTTCAAGTTGGGGTTTCCCCACTAAATGTATTTATCAATCCATCTTCAGCCATGTCTTATATATTTTTTTTTTTCAGCGGCATCCTGCACCCTTACCTGTTGGAGTAACACAAGCATCAGACAAATCATGGAAAATGCGACCACCTAAACCAACGTTACGAATAGGCAAAAACGGGAGTGGTAAGTTGCACCACTACTTTCCAGTTCCCCTTTCCTTACTTTGTGTCCACAAGGATCAGCCACAGCATAAGTTTGATATTGGAAACATGAAAATTTTATACCAAGAAAAGAAGTATTTTTCTATCCCATGAGACTGATCAAACTGATCAAGGAAATAATTGAAATCATGAAAAATTAGGCTTCCTATCAGCTCAGCATTATTCATCACAACCTGCCTGTGGACTGTTTACTACAGCCATCCAGTAGCTTTTCAATAAAATTTCTTTTTCCATGTTTTCTGTAGTTATGATGGCTGTGCATGAAAGTTTTAGTTTTCTGGAGTCATGATTTTCATGCTCTCACTATTTTCTACGTTTTCTGTTCCTTCATTTTGTTATCCTTACGGTTGCTTCCCATCATTTCGTAACTTGTAATGGGTTTATTGCATGCAAGAGATACAGCCGACTAAGCACATTTTCCAAGGGTAAATTCCCTCGAAAATCAAGTTGGCCTTGTCCAAAAAGTCTGAAATCCATCCTTAGCTTTTACAACATCATTGTAAGGAGTATTGTGTCTTACGGGAGTGAGGACTGGCAAATGAAGAAAAGAAGTGAAGATATGCTCAGAGCAACTGAGATGTACTTTTGGCAGAGGTTTACTGGAATCTGGAGAAGAGAGTGCATCCAAAATGGATAGGTGCATTAGATAATGGTGATGAAGAATGACATCTTGCACAATATCAGGTCCAAGCAGTTGGTCTGGTATAGACATGTGCGGAGGATGGCAGACCGGCAGACGATCGGTTGCCCAAGCAGGTTTTCTGTTGGGTTCCTCCTGGGAGGAGATGGCCTGGGCGTTCTGTGAAAGGTTGAAAACATAGAGTGGAGGAGAAGATCAAGAGGTGTCAACTGCCTGATGATCTGTGGGAGGATAGGGGGCAATCGCGATTGGGTGTCACTGAGTGCGAAGCTGTACTGTTAAAGCGGCTGTTATGTATTTATGACTGTTTTTGCTCCTCAATTCCTAAAATTGAGGCAAATGGAGAATTTGCAAGGGTCTAAAATTTGATGAATTTCCTGTTTAAGTGGAATCCTCTGAGTGAACTGAACACGAAGATACCCTTGATTCATAAATTGAGCGATTATTAGAGGAGATATGACAAAATAACCGATTCTGCTAAAATACATGTGTTTAAATGGGAAATGCCGCCAGATGACGTCACAAGGCGGCGCATTTTCTCACTTTTAAATCAATTTTTCTCCAATTTCCCATGTCAGAAAAAAATTATGAAAAATATTGCGAACTCAGCTCATTAGGCACTTTCAGATGAAGCAATAAAAAAATTGCATGCAAATTCTCCATTGATGATATTTCTGCAAGGTAAAAATTGCCGGATTGTGGCAAACGTTCTGCGTCTTAGAACTTTCCTTTACCCCTGAATGAAAGAACAAGTTCCATGATCCTAGCAATATTGGTTACTAATTTTACATGTTCATACAGTAACCCTCTCAGTTATGAATACGACACAGGGTTGTCACAGTCAGGGAAAACCAGGAAATGTCAGGGAATTTTAAAAAGTCAGGAATAACCAGGGACTGCAGGGAAAATGACGAAAATGTCAGGGAAAATGTGTTAAATCATCTTCATTTGCTATCTAGAATGGGTTTGAGGTTTCAAACAACAAATTTTGCCTGAAAAATATTTTCAATTATGCTTTCATAAGCATCCGTCACATCTTCAATTGTCAGGGAATTTCACCAAAATGTGTCAGGGAAATCAGAGAAATGTCAGGGAATTTTATTTTCTAAATTCTGTGGCAACCCTGACTATAGCTCTCAGGACGTATTCATTTTTGAATGTCAAAGATCATCAAAAGCACCTAGGGAACTGCTCATGATGAATGTTGAACAAATCATGTATTTGTGTGTCAGGGAAAACAAAGTTTATTGCTTGCACAGTGAAAAATGCGTTTAGGTATGGGAATAGTTAGGAAAAAATGATAGAAAAGCAAGGATTCTTGCAAACTTTCAAATAAAGGAATTTTTGGGGGAAAGGGAAAAATGGCAAGGAAGAGGTAATACATTTGAATGATAAGATACCAGCAGACACCCTGTATATTCCTAAATCCTTAAACTAAAAGTAAATTTTATGTAGCCGTATGCTGAAATTTCAAGGTGGAAGCCCTCAGTTCTCCTACACTGCATGTTTTTCATTAGTTATTTTCTTTTTTTCCTGGTAGGTATAACACTTTCATGGACTTTGAATGGATATGACAAGGAAAAGTATGCTGAAATAGTGAGCTACCAGTTATTTGCATATCAGGAAGGTTCAGAGCCTCCCAACACTGATTTATGGAAAAAAGTAGGAGACGTGAAAGCATTACCATTACCAATGGCATGCACACTAACAAAGGTAAGTTTTCTGTTTGATACCCTCCCCTTGGCTCCTCTTTGTATTGGTGTGTATAAATTCGCAATTTTTTTCTTTAACACCATGGAATGTTCTTTGTGATTTTCCAACTAACAAGGGGAACTTCCCAAGCTGCTGCCTCCGATTGGGCTAAAAAAATTCGTACAAACTCTTTGGGTGGATCCATTAGGACCGTGTGTTTTTGTTTATTCCAGGGCACCCTGAAAAAAACAAAAAAAAATACGGTCCTAATGGATTCATCCAAAGAGTTTGCACTTATTTTTCCAGCCCAATCGGAGGCGGCAGCTTGGGAAGTTCCTCTTTGTAAGAAGAATAAATTCATGGTAATATATCAAGGTTATTATTGGATTCAGTCGAGTAAAATACATGGAGTTCATCAACACCATGCTTGAGAATCTTCACTCCGGTCAAATCCCTACTCATTCATTAATTCATTAAAAAACGTATATTCTTTAAAAGAAAATGCACATTTTTTAAATTGACATCAAATACAAGTGTTTTTCTTGAGTTCATGAAAAAGTACCGCAACAAACAGGAAAATGATGTGTTCAGTTAGATTTCAACTGATAATTTGTCTTACTTTTACTACAACAATGTTCAATTTTGTTTCAGTTTGTTGTTGGACATAGATACCATTTTGCTGTTCGAGCGGTGGATGAACATTCTAGAGTTGGTGAATACAGTACACCTGATAATATTATGTTGAATTGAGGTTTAATTTTACCTATTAGTTAAGTGACTCAATATGTGCAAAGCCTTGTACAGAATGTAGAATTTTGTAAATGTTTTTTTTTTTTTTTATTATTTCCTAGCTCTCCTTACAACTTTTGTAATTGATTTTATGGCTATCTTTTTTTTCTTGACATTGGTGGTTTCCCCTCTCAATATTTTAATTTTTACAACTGAAGTCAAAAAAGTCTCTTTTTTTCTGTAAAATGAAATATGCCTCATGAGTACCCAGAAATGGCGCGAAAGCTCTAAAACTGATCCACCAATCAAACTGACCTTCACTTCATTCGAAAAAAGTTAAGTACTGTTGATTAAAAAGAGAATCAGGTTATTTGAGCAAACATTGATGAAGTTATGGTAATTTGAAAATAGAGTGTAAACCAATGGACCTTGATTCTTTTCAGGAAGGTTATGTTTTCTTAAACAAGCATAAGTAACTTTTCGATGCTCCTTCTAATAAATCCACTAGGAAACACTGGGTATTGGGTGAAAGATTTTTAAAATGTTTTACCAATTACATGTGTTGATGCACACTACTCAGATAATTTTTAGGGGCCAAGGTCAACCTGCTAGATTTTTGCAAATTTTACAAAATGGGTACTGGTGGAAAGGAGCATCTGGTAAGTTTCAAGTGCTAATTTTAAGACAAAACAATTCTTTCAAAGAATTGTGAGTGACAAGCATGCATTTCATTTTTAAACTACCGTATTTTTGTAAATTTTCGCTGGAAGGAGTTCTTTTTAATTTGAATCAACAGCATTTTACATCTTTTCTTGAATGAAGTGAAGATCAGTTGGATAGGTAACTCAGTTTTTGAGGTACAGACTGTACCTCGAAGTTACTCATAGCCGCAGCCATAAGTAATATTGTGGCAATTTTTGCAACTTTTTTGGCAATTATTGCCAGGCGGGAGGGGCATCTGGGGTACTTATGTTATGGCTTTCTTAATTTCATTTCTTCTTTGATGATGAAATATTTGGTTCATTCAAAGCTTATAAATGCTACAATTTTTATTTATATCCATAAATATGATTAAGCAGTGCATCTAGTTTAGCACAATTTCTCTGCTGCCAGGAAGAAGTATCAGTTTCAGATGTAAAAATGAACCCTTAGAGGTGCAAAAAAATGTTGACAATATTCAATTAATAGTCCGGTAACACCACGTCCGAAATACCTGTAAAAAAGTAGGCAGTTCCTTTTGTTCCTACTTTGGAAAACTATCTTGCTAAATTTTGGACTCAAAAGCCAGTATTTTCAAAGTGTGTGCAACCTTTTACACGGCAAGAAGACCAAATTATCCTTTGACTTCCTCAAACTGACTGCTTCTTCCAATATTTTTCTAAGAAACCGATTTTTGTTGTCAAAAAGTGGAAAAAATACCATTTTAAATTAAATTCAGTTTAATTTGAACTCAAGAAATTGTTACTCAGAGAACATATTTCCAGAAATGTGGCAAAATTGGGGTTCATATTAAAAACTGTTTGTGTAATAATTGATTCCTCTGAAATTATTTGGGCCAAGTCCTAAAATGACCTTAGTTTGATCCCTTGACTCTCAAATTTTCCAGAGAATAGAGATTAAACCTCAGAAAACAGGATGAGCCAAAGTCATTCTTGGATTCAGCAGTGACAAATATATAGTAAAACAAGTATTGCCTGCCTGAGCAGGTTTTCTTGTTGTGTCTGATATGGAGATTTCAGGTCATAATCTGACCATTTGCCAACCCGTAAAACTGATCTGTGTCTCTTGCATCGGAAATGACCGGAACTGTATTGTTCTCAAATGTTTGAGGGGGCTGCCCCTAGCTTGCTGCTGAAGTCAAAAATGAACTCCGTTTTTTTCTATCTCCCACCGATTTACCAGAGAATCGAATTTTTTCCTTGTCTTCAGATTAGTTGTGAAGGAATTTTTGTAAATTGCCTAGACCACATGGTAATTTTAATATCAGTAGCAAAAAATGTAGGAAACACTAAATATTTCCGCTCATCCAGTCGCCTCTCATGAGCGTATTGGCACACATTCGACATTTAATGTGATAACAGTGAAAAATAATATTCTTTTTAAGGGCTCAGTAGCTCAACCTGACAATCATATCTTGTTTCAATAAAAAAAAAGTTGATTTAATGCAAAATAATTTTGGCCTTTTATGTGAATAAATGAACTTAGTTCTATTCTTAATCAGTTACCTTCTTTGTTGAAAAATGAAAAAGAGGTTTCCTGCAGTGAAACTGAACAGGAAATAGGTAAATGTTTAGGATCTGCTACTAAAGTATCTTGCAGTGGCGTGGCGTGCTTTGCGATATATCGATTTATTGGCCATTTAAACCTATGGGAAAGGATCGATAGACAGGGTGTTCGCAGTGAACACCTTAATAATCGATTTTTTACCATGGGTTTAAATGGCAGAACAATCGATATATCACTTGAGGGAAAAATTCCAGGAAGCTTTTTTGTGGGAGTGTTTACGATTTGTAAATTATATACACTGTAACACAAGCTTCTTAGATAGTGTAAAACATCTGATGTAAATAGTATCAATGCACTGAATAAAAACTTATGTTTCAAGGAAGAAGTTTCGGAAGACATAAATTATCCTATGGAATCATTGAGCCACGACAAGGCAACGTTAAAGTTCAGTGTGCACTTCCATGTACAGAGTGGGCGGAAAGTTCCAAGACGGCTGGTTAAATTTTGAATGAGTGCACTTAAAAAGATGAAATTTTAAGAGTATTTCTAGGTCATCAGGGGCGACTTTTTTGTCGTGCAAAATCAGAGGGTCCGCCCCTGGATGTGTACACGGACCCCAATTAAAAACTTTCAAATGGCAGCCCCTCTTTCCGGATGTGCCATCTAAAGAAAGATAGAGAAAGAAAAAACTTCAGCGCTGATTGTAGGTCTTTTTAACTTTCTGTTCGCTAGATATTCAGTTTAAGTTCAAAATTAACTTATTTTTAAATATTCATCAGTGTCATTTTAAAAAGTCAGAGAAAAACATACAGGGATTTTAAATTACTCATCCTTAAGAGAATAATTTTAAAGAAAAAATAATGTGTGTATATAAAGTCGCTTTACAACGCACTCTGGCGTCCTGCGACACCCAAATGCCACATACAAAAAATAGTAACTTTCACATTTATTTGATTTTAAGATGGCATCAAAGGCCACAAAAATTTTGAAAATTTAAGCCTCTATTGCTTTTTCTCTGGACCCTGTCTCTGTTTATGCTGGAATTTCCTGTAAAATCTCAATGAAAATTTCAAAGACACCGAATGGTACCATCTCCCCCCTCCCCAATGACCTTTTGATTTCTCGCGAGCTAAAAATGGGCCTTGACCCAAAATTGGAATCAGCAATCGGGAGTTCACGGGGGAGTGGGGGGAGGAGGTAGTATTATTTAGGCACCTTTATAATGTCAATGAGTTTTTTTTATGAAATTCCAATACCAATTGGCCCACGTTAAACAGAAAGGAACCAAGCCACATCAGCTATTGCCAAATTTTATCGGGCAATTTAATCTTTTACATGAAAACGGCTGTGCGGATTTTTGTGCAAATTTCTATGAATTTTTTCCATAGTTCAAAGCAAATTTCTTAAAATTTTCAAAGGAATCCGCACAAACGTTCTCTCATAAAAAATCAAATTCCCCTGTTAGATTTGGCAATAGCTGATGTGGCTTGATTCCTTTCTGTTTAACGCGGTCCAATTGTCAAAACAAGGTCTGCTCTCAAGGAAGCAAAAGAGGCCTGAATTTTCAAAATTTTCGAGGCTTTTGATGTTGTCTCGAAATCAAACAACTTCAGAAAACATGACTTTTCTTCAAAAGAACTCTTAATGATAAGTAATCTAAATCCTCTGCTTGTTTCTCTCTTATTTTTAAACAAGACCAATCCACACAAATCAGTCATTCCCGTGGACGAGTTTTGGTACTCTACTGCGCAGTGACGTACTATTGAGTGCTTACAATGTATTTCTTATGGGAGCACCCATTGTGACATACTATTGAGTGCAGCTGAGTTAGGGCCGGGCGGGGAAGTGGCTTTCAAAAAGATGCGCAATGACTGACCTGTGTGGATTGGTCTTGTTTTTAAATGGCACCCATGAATTATTGAAAAAAGGTCCCTTTTGTGTTATGACCAAGACTATTTTGAGAACGGAAAGTTTAGAAGACCTCCAGTTCATGGTAACAGTCTTCCCTCTCAAACAGTGTATCAAGAAAGGGGGTTGTCATTTGAAAATTCTTAGTCAGGGTTGACATAAGTATCTAGAGAGACTCTCAAAATTTTGTTTGCTAAAAAGAAGCCTCCAATGACCTACAAACACCCTCAAAATTTCATCTTTTTAGGTCCACCCATTGACAGGTTAGCAGGTCCTCCTGGAACTGTGTGCCCACCGAGTAATATCAGTAGAGAATGAGAGGTACCCAATCACATAGTCGTCAGGGTGTGCACCTGATGATATGTTGATGGATCCTCATTCATTCCCCATGATAATTGCCAAAATGAACACTCAAAAACATGGTATTGTTCATATGAAATTGGCCTCATTGGCCCACGCTGTTGTGTTAAGGAAGAATGCACTATTTGAGCTTTCAGATGTTGCTAAATTTTTTCTGACAAATCACGAAGTTTCAAGAAAGTTGGTAGGTTAATATTTTTCTTCCGAGAGAATTTGGTATGTAACTTGATCTCAAGTGTCTAAAAATGTGTAAAGTGAAAATTTAACCGAAAAATACTTTGAACTTTTTTTGAAAATAAATTTTCCTAAGAGAAAATATGGCGAGGTTCGAATGTTCATACGGAGTTTATCTTTAGCACGGCAGCACATTTAAGTGCCAACAATCCAAAAAGCAGGTGAAATGTGTCACCTTCTCAATGATTAGAGACAAAATTTTCTATCGACTACAGAAATCAAAGATTTTGTAGACAGATTCCATCTGAAAATTTCATTCTTTTTAGTATTTTAAGCTTTATTTTTATTTCACTAATATTTAAGTCAGGACTGTGTTCATGTAGAAAATTTATTTAATTCAATCATGTGTACAGACTAAATCAAAGGGGTCAATATATGTAATGATCTGCAGCTGTGGAAATCTTTTTTTTATTTATTTACCAAAGAACTTAATTTTTATGTTTAAGAAGCGATTTTTTTATTTATGCTGAAAGCTCGATTGTAGAAACTTCTTACAAACTTAAGAAGTTGATTAACAAGTTAACTGCTGGGGGTATTCATCTAAAATTACCCACCTTTGTTGCGGCTTAAAGCCTGACCCATTGTTTTGCACTGGTGTTTCCGTAGAACCTAAAGATTCACAACCAACATATAGTTTTGTTTTGAAGGTTTTCCATCTTCAACTTCTGTTGTTTAAAATGTAACAACTGTACCATAGCTGTTGTCTACAGAAAGGTTGCAGTAACTTCATTCTAGAATTTTCCATTTTTTCTTTAAGAAATATTCTATCAAAAGAGGATTAGCAGATTTATGTATCATTTATCAAAATGACCACACCATAGCACCAGAAACTCATGCTGAAGATATTAAGTATGGCAGAAATCAATGTTTCTTCTACGGAATACAGCATGTTGTTTTCAGGAAAATGTAAAATCTAGAATGGAGCAATGGCATTCTTGCATCACTGGCAGCACTAATGACTGACTGCACTATAAATTTTAACTTTTCTACTTACCTGGGAAATGCAACATTCCTTCAGAATTGGAGAGTGAAAAAAAGCATATTCTTATCTTGAATGAAATTTCATGAATCAAAAGACACAGAGCAAAGGGAATTCTGAATTAAATAGACAGTATAAATGAGTCAATGCTGCCATTGCAATACACTCTGATAGGTACTATCATTGAGAAATTTATTCTTGCAAGCCTTTTAACCGTGAGGAATTATGGTTTAATCTTCTTTTCCATTGGATCTTTCTCGATTTATTGTTTAGTTAAATTTTAAGACATTATCAACTAAATTATGATGGCCTGCCAATTTGTGGATATGTAAAAGAAATGCCCATCATTTAACTGTATAAAATGGTGAAACATTTTGCATTAAAATAACTACCATAAAAAAAAAGAAAAAAAAAAGACTCCAGTCTTTTTATTCGACTGCTGCTTGCTGTCTCACTGCACTGTAAGTCATAAGTAGTTTCTAGTTTCTAATATTGGAGCTCATCCGTAGCAAATGATATTTGAATTCATAGTAACCTAATGATTATTAACAACCTATTTTTCTGTGCAATTGAACTCAAGCCAATGGAAAGAAATTATTTCACAACAGCTGCCCATTATAGATTAAGAGAATGATGGACTGCGAATTGCCATTTTCAAAAATTTGAAGGAAAATTTTGTCATCTTTAGAGCTTGAAAGAACAATTTAATCAATTTTTTGGTGGACATCCTAGTAACTTCGAAGTACCAAAAAGGCTCAATTTTGCTCTGCCTTGATTCCTTGGTTTCCAAAAAGTAGAATCATAATTTCCATGAGGAAATTTTTTTTTTCCTCATTGCAAGTTTCGAGAAGATTTTACCCTATCCCAATATCTAGGCCATTCTTGCAAATTTCCTCCGCTCTGTCTTACATATTTTCAGAGGTGTTACTGTAATTCCTCTGTGATCTCTATTTCAATGATTAAGTTTTATATTTTTCGTGTAATTTACCTTCTAACTTGGGATCTTAGAGAGAAGCGTAAAATATGCTAGGATTAGCAAAAAATATTCCAGATCGACCGAATTGTGATACATTTTGTTGAGATATTCAGATAAGTGTCACTAATCGGTTTTCTCACTGTGCTCGACTTCAAAGTCCATTAAATAAAGTAGGATACTTAAGGATTCACAATTATTATATTCTAGAAGTAAGATTTATACCCTGTAAAGTTTCAGTTTTTGTACCGAAGATTTTTATAGCCCATACCCAAGATAAAAATATGTTATAATATTGCAATTCCATCTAGTAAAATAACAATGAGACAGAATAATTTAACTATGTTGTAGATTGCAATGTATTTATCGTAAGTTGAATTTTTAACATGCAGTTTGTCATTACTTTATTATCCAATCTGATATAATATAAAACCCTGTGGGAAGAGCATTTTGAGCTAGAAGATTGTTCTCTCATGATGCTCAATGGTCTTGTCGCACACAAGCGGTCCAGCCAATTGAGTAGACACTCTTGTGATA